AGGGTTTCCGAGGGTGTAAATCTTTACGGGAGTAGAAAGCCTCATCTTTCTCCCGCGGAGCAGCTGGTAGTTTCGAACTGCTGACCTTGCGGTTTACAGCCCGATTCGTAACCACTACGCTACCAGAGCACAATCACAGTAGAAATTTTAAAATACATTCTCACTAAAATGATAGAACAATAATATAATTGTAAGGAAAATACGACAAGATCCTGCCTATAGTGAACTTGCATTACAGTAAAGAAGACACATCATTATCAAATAAGCACACTAATGAATGTAAAATTGCATAAGTGCTCTGAAAAAAAGGAAGACAGCTTTCTAAGAAAAACATGACCTGGGTTAAGGGAACCAACAAAGGATTTTCTGAGATCTAGACTAGGAAAGAAAAATAGTGGGGAAGTAGGTGAGAGGAAGTGGAAGTGTGGAACAAAGATCATTGTAGATTTAAGGCATGCCATCTGCAAACATCTTATGAAAGATCTTATGGGCATTGCTGCTGTATGCCTTTGAGTCAACTGCTCTAATCTATAGTGGCCTTATTAATCAGAGTAGAATTTATCCATTGGTTTTCTTAGGAAAAGCAAGTCACCTGGTCTTTTCTCCAGTGAGTTTAAATGCCAGACTTTTGGTTAGCAGCTGAATACTTAGCCACTGTCCCACCTTGATCATGTGGTAGGTATGAGTTTGAGGAACTGGAAGGAGATCATAGTGATTAAAGCACTGTATGTATAAGAAGGAGAACAGCTCAAAATAAAACTGGACTCGTGGGCAAAGCCAAACCTCCAGAACTTTGTTGATCATGTTAAGGATTCTGAATGGGCAATAGGAAGTCAATGATGGGAATCAAAGCAAGCTGATTTTGTTTGAGGGGTTATGCTGTGAAAAGGCCCTTCTCCATGGTGACATGGAGACAGGATTGTAGAAGACCAGAGTCAATAGAGGACACTGAGCAGACCAAACAAGCACAGCAGTTGCTACCAATGACTAGAGGAGAAAGATGATGGTAGTGACAGCGGCTGGAAAGGAGTAAAAGTCAAGGAATATTTAAAAAGTGAAGTGAGCAGGATGTGCTGAGGAGTTCTACATGGTGACTAAGGGTGAAGAGGGAATCAAGAACGTCTTTTCAGGTTTTTGCTTGTGCAAATGGAAAAGGACTAGGTTTTGGTAACATCATTAAATACAGTCTTGGCCATGTTAAGACTAAGTGTTTTTCTGTAGAGATTATTTTATAGGATTTCATCTAAGGGCTCTTAATTGATTTTCTCTTTGTGGCAATAGGTTTATTTTATTTGCTTGTTTTACCCCGTCCAGTCTAACTTTCAAAAAAATGTAATTACAAACCCTGACTGTGAATATTTATCATGTAGCGCCATCAAAATATTGACCTTGTCTAATTTGAACCATCCCAGGGAGTAAGGCAAACAAGAGAAGAGATTGAACATTTGTTCAAATTCCCAATAGTGCTTGCAAGGTGTTGATCATGAATCCAAGCAAGAGTTTAAATGTGTTAGAGAACTTTCTTGGCTTCTAATGTCAAAGACCATCTAATGCAGCAGTATTTATTTTCTGGGAGATGTCACACAAGGATGAGAAAACCAACTTTAGAAAAACTGGCTCTCAAAACCTCAGAGCCAGTTGAGAGAAGCACTAATGAACTTTCCCCTCACTGCTAAGTAAATCTGTCCTGGATATGAATCAGGTGTCATGAGAAAAGAAAGGCCAGTCCACACTTCCAAAACAATTTCCTGGTAGAGTATCAGCATTGTTGTTGTTGTTAGGTGCCATCCAGTTGGTAATGACTCATAACGACCCGGTGCACAACAGAATGAAACACTGCCCTGTCCTGTGCCAACCTCACAATCATTACTACGTTTCAGTCCATCACTGCTGCCACTGTGTCAATCCATCTCCTTGCGGATCTTCCCCTTTTTCTCTGACCCTCCATTTTTTTTTCAAGCATGTTATCCTTCTCCAGGGCCTGGTCCCTCCTGACAATATGTCCGAAGTATGAAAGATGAATTCTGGCCATCCTGGCTTCCAGGGAGCCTTCTGACTGTACTTCTTCTAACACAGACTGGTTACAGGTGGTTGTACTTTCAATATTTCCCTCCTACACTATAACTTAAATGCATCAATTCTTTTCTGGTCTTCTTTATTTACTGTCCAACTTTCACATACATGTGAGGTTATTGAAAAAGCCATTGCTTGCATCAGGTGCATCTTAGTCCTCAAACTGAAATCTGTGCTCTTCAACACTTTAAAGAGGTCTTGTGCAGCAGATTTGCTTAATGCAATACTTCATTTGATTTCTTGACTGCTACTTCCATGAGTGAAATGAAGTCTTTGACAACTTCAATCTTTTCTCCATTTATCATGGTGTTAATTCTTGGTTCAGTGGTGAGGATTTTTGTTTTCTTTTCATTGAGGTGCAACCCATACCAAAGGCTGAGGTCTTTGATTTTCATCAGCAGGGTGTATCATGTGTGTATCTCATGTTGTTAATGAGTCCTCCTTCAATCCTGATGCCATGTTTTTCTTCATATCATCCAGCTTCTTGGATAATTTGCTCAGCATACAGATTGAAAAAGTATGGTGAAAGAATACAACCCTGGTGCACACCCTTGATAATTTTAATCCATTCAGTGTTCCCTTGTTTAGTTCAAACAATAGCCTCTTGGTCTATATATAGGTCTCTCATGAGCACAATTAAGTGTTTTGGAATACTCATTCTCTGAGATGTTATCCATAGCCTGTCATGATCCACACAATCAAAAGTCTTTGTGTAGTCAATAAAGCACAGGTAAACATCTCTCTGGTATTCTCTGCTTTCCACCTAGATCCATCTGATGTCAGCAATGATATTTCTCATTCTGTGTCCTCTTCTGAATCCAGCATTGGATGTCATTTTTCTTGCTCTTGTGTAGCTGAGAAGCTTGCCTTGAAATCCTTTCCATCAGAAAGAACATAGGGAAGAGGACAACTTGCGCAAAGTCATCTCATGTCCAGAAAAAAGGACCATATATTCACAGTGATGCCTCTATTCCATCACTCATCTGCCGGTTTGTGGCTTGTGTGTTGCTGAGATGCTGAAAGCTATGCCACTTGTATTTTGAATATCAGCAGGTTAACTCATGGTAGGGTGGAGGGTCAGAGAAGAAGAGGAAGACCCCTAATGAGATGGATTGGCCAAGTGGCAGCATTGATGGACTCAAGTATGGCAACAGTAGTGAGGTTGGCCCAGGATCAGGCAGTATTTCGTTCTGCTGTACATAAGGTCGCTAAGAGTCAGTACCGACTCAATGGCACCTAACAACAACAACAACAACAACAACTCATGGTGAACAGGTTTCAGCTGAGTTTCCAGACTAAGATAGACTTAGTTTGCTATGAGTCGGAACTGACTCAATGCTACTTAGCAACATCAATTTCTTTATTATATGACGTTTTATGGTTTATGTACCGTTGAGCCTGTTCCAACTCAGTGGGTTTCTGAGGCTGTAGATCTTTATGGAAGCAGAAAGCCTCATCTTTCTCCAGCAGAGTGAGTGGTAGAATTGAATTGCTGACGCTAGAGTTAGCAGCCCAATTCGTAATCCACTACTATGCTACCAGGGCACCATGTGTTACAAGACATTGGATAGTAAACTCAAGGGGATGTATCAGGACTTTTATTCAACACATTTTTTTTTCTCTCCTTCTGGCCCATATAGTCTTTAATTCTTTCCTGGCTTAATTTAAATGAAGTCAATTTCATATGTAGTAAGATCACAACCCTGAAAACCTTATGGGGCGGCTGCCATTTCATCACCTCTGCGAGCGCAGCATCCATCCCCTCCGCTCTCGCGGCGCCTGGGCCTACCTCGCCTCGGAAGCCCAGGCCAGCGATGCGCTCGCGGCCGAGCTAGATCTCCAGGCCTAGGCCGGAGTAAAGGAGACCTGCGGAGCCGCGGCCATGGAGGCCATCTGGCTGTACCAGTTCCGGCTCATTGTCATCGGGGATTCCACAGTGGGCAAGTCCTGCCTGATCCGCCGCTTCACCGAAGGCCGCTTTGCCCAGGTTTCGGACCCCACCGTGGGAGTGGATTTCTTCTCCCGACTGGTGGAGATCGAGCCGGGGAAACGCATCAAGCTCCAGATCTGGGATACCGCGGGTCAAGAGAGGTTCAGGTCCATCACTCGAGCCTACTACAGGAACTCAGTAGGTGGTCTTCTTTTATTTGACATTACCAACCGCAGGTCCTTCCAGAATGTCCACGAATGGTTAGAAGAGACCAAAGTACACGTGCAGCCCTACCAAATTGTCTTTGTTCTGGTTGGTCACAAGTGTGACCTGGATACACAGAGGCAAGTGACTCGACACGAAGCTGAGAAACTGGCCGCTGCATACGGTATGAAGTACATTGAAACGTCAGCGCGAGACGCCATTAATGTGGAGAAAGCTTTCACAGACCTGACGAGAGACATATATGAGCTGGTGAAGAGGGGGGAGATTACAATCCAGGAGGGCTGGGAAGGGGTGAAGAGTGGGTTTGTACCAAATGTAGTTCACTCTTCAGAAGAGGTTGTCAAATCAGAGAGGAGATGTCTGTGCTAGTCAGCTCTCTTCGTTCCAAAACGTGCCGCCCACCGGAACTTACAAGTGACGGAAGTAAATAGAATCCTTGTGTGGCTGAGAACTCAAACTCCAGTTTGGATACCAAGAGAATAAATGACAAGTAAGCCTCCTTCCCCAGGGCTGGCTCTCTGATGGTGTGCTGATGGATGGTGGGGCCGGAGCGCTGTGACTGGGGGACTGCTTAAGGACCACATATTATGGGGGTTTAAGATTTGGGAAGCGAGACCCCAGAAAAACACACCTACAGGCAGGACAACTGTTTCTTGGTATTTCAGCTCATTCCTAGGTCACGTACATCAAGAACCGTATCAAGGGGGGGGACAGTATCACATTGGGAACAATGACCCTAACTCAAAATGACTGAAGATCAACGTATGCAGTGAGAATATCCTACACAGGATACGTGTGCTGGGTTTGCTTACCCGACACCAGTTAGCATGTAAATAGTCATCTGTCAGATGCTGGGGTGCTAGTAAGAAGGGTGTCATGTGAAAAGGAAGGTCATTTACACACAGTTGTAGGGAATTCAGGCAAGTGTTCACCCTTGTAATAAAATGACCAGCTGGACGAGGAAGAAAACGGCCCCGGTGCAAATGACTGTGTAAGTAGGAAGGTTGTGCTTCGCCCAGCACCTGGCAGCAACTGAGTACCAGTTCACCTCAAATCCCACTTGCATGATCTTATTTTATCATCACAACAGGCCTCGGAGGTTATTAGCCCCATTTTATAGGTGGGTCAACTGAAAATCAGGAGAGTCGCTTGGCCCAGGTCAAGATCCTGACTCCTAGTTGCTGTTCTGTTCATTGCATCAGAGGAAGAAACTCATCTTAACATTGTTTGGGAAGAGACGTGACTAGCAATGAATGGGCTCTACATGTTAGGGTATGTTTTCCTAATTGATTACAACTCAGCTCTAACCTTGAGCGATCCTGGGGATGAATCAAAGGTAAGGTCCATTCAGGTATGATTGACAAGAGTTCATAATCGCAGAACTGAAAACACATTCTAACTGTTTGAGTACTTCTCACTGAGCCCCGATGGACATTTTCTTGAGAGGAAGCAGATATGGTAAGGTGGTAGGGATCAAATACTCACCTGACAACAACCATGGGGGCGCCCCCTGTGTCTACTGGCTTCCTGTCTGACCTAGGTCAGCTCTTAATTCTCAGGGGGAACAGATAACTGCATTGGAAAAC